GGCACAGGTAACTGGGGCAACTCAATGGCTTGCTCCAATAGCCAATTTTTCTTTTCTTTTCTTTAAAAATTTTTTTATGTTTATTTATTTTTGAGAGAGAGAGATAGAGACAGAGCACAACAGGGAGGGGCCTGGGGAGAAGGAGACACAGAATCTGAAGCAGGCTCCAGGCTCCGAGTTGTGAGCACAGACTCCAGTGCAGAGCTCGAACTCACTAACGGTGAGACCATGACCTGAGCTGAAGTCAGACGTTTAATCGACTAAGCCACCTGGGTGTCCCTAGTAGTCAATTTTTCTAAATCAAAAATATTTTACAGGAGCTGACATTTGTCTGTCATATGACTTGATAACAGAATATCAGAAATAATCTATTGAACAGATTCCAAGAAATGCCTTAATTACAACAACTTTGGAACTTTTTTTCTGCTCAATTTTTATCTTTATCTAAATGTCACTGTACTGAATGCCATGACATGGTACTGAGTAATGTAATGTAAAAGCCAGAGGACCTCCCTAATAGGTACAAAAATGCTCTCAGATCCTATACCTCCTGGGCAGAGAAAGTTAATCACCAGGAAGAAGCATTAATCATCAGAGTAGTCAAACACTCTTCAGCAAGGTAGATCCGCTAAGTCAGGTGTCTGGCTGGATCCTGACGCAAGGGATGAGATGTCTGGTTTGATGCCTCCCAAAATCCTGAATTCCCAGATTCCCTAAAATGTTCTAAAGCCACAAAAAATAAAAAAGGTCTTACCTTTCTTTCTTGGGAATCATGTACACAGAAGCTTCCATCCCTTAAAAGAACATGAGCCTTCCTAACCTCCATCTTCCATCCCTTAAAAGAACATGAGCCTTCCTAACCTCCATCCCCCTTCACCTCCTCTCCAGACCCTTAGGCCTATAACCAGGGTTATGTCCTAATATAACACACCTAGGACACAGTAGGCCTAACAAAGAAAGAAAGGGGATATTCCACAAAGAAACTATAATATCTAGCTAGTTTATATTAGCCAGAAGAGTACATGGGAGATGAAATTCTGCTCAAAGGAATTTAAGTATTAGATAAGAAAGAGTTTATCGATTGGAAGCCACTATTCTGAGATGCAGGATTTACAACCAGTAAGAATCTCAAAAGATGGTATAAATTCACTACTAGGATGGTTCCTGGAAACAGCGGAGGTAAAGGCTCATATTAAATATTGCTGCTATGGCTGATGGCAGAAGGGGGATCACAAGCCTCTGAGAGTACATTCTAGAATGCACATGCTACATAAAGCTGGAAAACCCATCAGATTATTATGTTCCACCTGAAGGTCCAGAAAACACATCATTTACGATAGCAATAAGGAATATGCCAGTGAGAAGATATCCACATTAGTAAGTTTTGTGGTGGTTCTTTTCTAAAGGCCAGAACTGACAGAAGGAAAGGCTGTTACAGAATTAGGCTCACTGATAGCAATGGGGATGATAGAACCAGCTAAGGATCAGAAGCCATGAGAAACTCGGAGGACATAATTATCATAAGAGTGGCAAGGCGGGGTTAGTGGGGAGCTGACCCACAGAGAGAGAGAGTTTAAAAATACAGCATCCCTAGAGGCAAAACAGATAGCTGACAAGGCTCCTACTCAATATGTACAATCAAAATAAATCAAAGATGAATGAACAAATCTGAGGGAAGTTGCCCCAGTGAAGTTACAATCTCTTGCTTAGTTTCTAAACCTGAGCTAATTTTTTAACTCAGAACCCTCTAGAGGCCTAGTGGGGTGGGGGTGGGGTGGTGCCTGGGGGGCTCCGTCAGTTAAGCATCTGACTTCAGATTTGGAATCAGGTCAAGTTCTCGTGTTTCATGAGAAGGAGGCCCATGGTGGGCTCCATGCTCAAGCGTAGAGCCTGCTTGGGATTCTCATTCTCTCTCTCTCTTTCCCTCTTCCTCTCTCCCTCTCTCTCTCTCAAAATAAATAAATAAACTTAGGTGGAGAAAAAAGAGGCCTAGGAATCCAGAGGGAAAGGTCTGCCAACACCATAGCAAGAATACAGGGTAATAATTTCCCTAATCTTTCTCCAATGGGACCTATATCCCTTTATTCAGTAACTGTGCTCTGGGGACAGAGAATACCCAAACATGTCAAGGGCACAATGTTGACAGTGATGCCAGAAGACCTAAAGCATCTATATAATGTCAACCTTCTCATTAGAGTAGAAGCATAGGGAAGCCAGTAATAAATGGAGCTCTGACCAAGGTCTAACTCATAATGGGTCCGACTACAGACTGATTTCCTTAGTCTCCAAATGCGTAATCAGAACAGACTAACTTAGTAAGTACCATAACACCCATACCGAGTCCTTGGCCTATAGGTAAAGAGCTATAATTGTGAAGAAAGTCAAGAGGAAGAATTTAAAACCAAACCACCCAATCCTGAGAATGTAATTAAAAAAACATAGTATTGGGTGGGGGATGGGAGATTGGCAGAAATTAGTGTTCCCTTAAGTATCTAACTGGCATGCATGGATGATTCCAGTGAAGTTATCCAGGCTGTTGGTGGTTCCACACTGCAGTTCAACTTCTCCCTTCTCCCACTATCTCTGTCCCCTCCCTTGCAAAGGGGTTCATTCCAAGGGCTCTCCCTAGTAAACTCAATCTCAAAATCTAGTTCCTGAGTAACTCAACTTGCAATAGTCATCTTCCACCTTGAATATAAATTACATTTTCTTTTTAAATAATCTTGGGCTTATCTTCAGAACCACTTCTGAATTTAACTGGTGTCCCTTCTAGAAAATTTTCCCAAAGCTGCAACATGCTAGAAATATTTTTGAAGTCTTTGGGATTATTCTCTGGGAAGAGCCTATGTATAATTCCTGATATATAGGTGCTCTCTGCTTTTAAAATTATTGACTTTTGTCAATCCCTATATCCTTATCAAAGATTTCAGGTAATCCCTCAATTCACTATTTAAAAAAAAAAAAAAAAAGCAAAAAGCTTTTCTGAATTCATTGACACAGAGCATTCAAAATTAGCTCATACCTCATTTTCTCCAGAAAGCTTCTCATTGATTCTCAATGGAATAATTTCTATTTAATTTCATCAGCATTTAAGTATATAGGACATATAAACTATGTTCATAAATTTGTTTAGCAGTTTCTTTGTAAGTATACTGAAGTTGTGTATATAAAGATAGACTCTATTTACACAAATAGACAATAAAAACAATTATGTGAAGAACTGCATTTTCCTTTTCTTTTATAGTTGCACAGTGTTCCTTACATACTCTCTGGATATTTTTATTATTATTTTAATGTTTATTCATTTTTTGAGAGAGAGAGGAAGGCAGAGTGTAAGTGGGGTAGAGGCAGAGAGAAAGAGACACAGAATCCAAAGCAGGCTACAGGCTCTGAGCTGTCAGCACTGAGCCCAACACAGGGCTCGAACCCATGAACTGTGAGATCATGATCTGAGCCAACGTTGGACGCTTAACCAACTGAGGCATCCAGATGCCCGTCTGGGTTTTTTTTTTTTTTTAAGAATTTTATTTTTAGGTAATCTCTGCACCCAACATTGAGCATAAACTCACAATCCTTGATATCAAGAGTTGCACATTTCACCGACTAAGCTAGCTGGGAACCCCTACATAATCTCCTGATTTGTGTTGATACCTAAAAAGTTACAGGTAATTTTTAAACATTACATTGTATATGAGAAACTACTAGAAACTACTGTACCATACAATATTGAGCTTAAACTACAATTTCTCAACTATTTCTATGAATAAGTACAGCTTAACCAAGTAAGTTAATAACAAGAAATCAGGCATGTGTTTTCAAAAAGTAGCCCATACTAACTGGCAAATATACTCTTCCTTGAAACTTTGGGCAATGAGAGATTCAATACATTCTAAATGTTGTGCAAGCTAATGAAAGCACTTTCTGCTATTGCATACAACTTCTTAAAATTAAGTCTTATACTAAAAAAAAAACCCCAGAAGTACATCTCTAGTTACAACTCATTCTAGTGATGAGTATATTTCTAGGAAAAACCAAGGCAACATATATGTTTTAAAATAGTACTTGGTTTTTGTGGTAGTAACAAATGGGATGACTGTCCATTAGTGTGACGAAATTATCGTAGAATACATTACTAAATTAAGGTGGAAATTTCTTTATTGAAAAAAAATTGAAAAACCTTATAGTAGTACTTGGCCCACAATTAAATGCTACAGAAACTAGGTGAAATACAGTACTGCATTTTAATCATATACTGTAGATTTAATCAGAGACTCATGAATTGTGATTGGATGTCCTGTTTCTTAAACACCATTCTGTACTTGTGGCTTATACTAACTCATACTCACTCCCCACTTCCTCTGCTTCTCCTACCACAAAAGGGTCAGATACACCCACAAAGATGACAGAAGATCACATTTTATCAGCAGCCAAAAACGAAGTACAGACTGTCAATGATCACAAGGCTTGCTCAGGTAATCTGGTCATTGACTACTGCCTCATTCACCATAATCATGTATTTCAATAACCACACGATCTAAAGAATTTTTGTAGAAGAATCTTCTGGGATAGAAAGAGAGACAACATTTTTAAACTGTTTTTTTAATGTTTATTTTTGAGAGAAAGAGACAGAGTGTGAATGGGGGAGGGACAGAGAGAAATGGAGACAAAACCTGAAGCAGGCTACAGACTCTGAGCTATAAGCACAGAGTTCAACATGGGGCCTGAACTCACCAACTGTGAGATCACAACTTGAGCTGAAGTTAGACACTTAACTGACTGAGCCACCCAAGTACCCCCCAGAGAAAATCTTTTTTGAAACAGATACATGACATTATCATTTGGTCACTAATAACCAAGACAAGTGTGTGTGTGTGTGCGCATACGTGTGACAAATCCCTTCTAATTACTAAACATACTACACCAAACCTGGATACTTTTATAGCTTATTATGTTATCTTTAAATTTTTGAAATTAAATTCAAAGATAAAGATTATACATACTTGGAAGAAACTGCCTCCATGAATTCATCCAAAAAGTCATCATATTCAGGACCTCTCACTCTTCTCTGACGTAGTCCAATGTACAATGGATCTTTAAGTAAATCCTATTAAAAAAAAGTCACCATAGATATAGAAATAATGATAGGTATGTCATTCCTACTTTCTGAGCTTCAATTTCCTCAGCTACATGATGAGGATAGAAATAGAAATAAAATCTTTCCATACTGAGGCAGAATTAACCTACAGAGTATTATATTTATATATTATTAGCATTACATAAATTATCTACAGCATTTATATGTCAAATAATAAAAGTAATTACTAAACATTAAAACATTCTGCTTTATTTTGGGGAAAAAAGGAATTAAAATCTCTCAGTGGTGCTAATTAGAAGACTTCAATTCAGATTTTACAGGCAAAGTTTATCATATAGAAAAACAATAATGAGTTTTAAAGTATTACATCAGTTTAGGAAATGGAAAGATACCAATTCTTTTGTTAGGTTTATTTTGTTTCTGAAAGCAAAATTGTCAACATTTTAATATATTAACTGGCTGATATCAAAAATAAATTTTTACCTTAACTAAAGTTTTCTTAAACTTTTTAAACTTTACAAAGCTCAAGTTTACTCTGTTCGAGTTTTGGTATAAGTAATAGTGTTTTTTATGAGATCAATTTTTTCACTGAAGTATAATGTATATACTATAAAATGCATACATAACAAAAGCTCTTAGGAAACTAGGGACAGGAAGGAACTTCCTCAACCTAATAGAGGGCATCTGTGAAAAAACCAACAGCTAACAACATATTTAACAGTGAAAGACTGAATGCTATTCCCCTAAGATTAGAAACAAGACAATGATATCTACTCTCACGACTTCTATTCAACACTATACTGGAGACCTTAGCCATTACAATAAGGCAAGAAAAAGAAAATATAAAAATATAGGTTGGAAAGAAGAAAGTAAACTGTTTTAATTTGTATACACATGATCATGTACATGGAAAATAATTAGAAATCTATACACACAAAATAACCAACTAGAAAAAATATGTGAATTTAATACAGGAGTAAATCTAAGACCAACATACACAAATCAACTGTATCTCTATATAACAGCAATGAACAGTTGAAAATGAAATAAAATATACAACCCCATTTACAGCAGCATTACAAAACATAAAATTCATAGGGATGTATTTCACAAAATATGTTTAAGCCCTATACACTAGAAACTATAAAATATGGCTGAAACAAATTTAAAAAGACAAACTGCTTTTGTGGACTGGAAAGAAAATTGCAATCTATGTCATGCAATAGTGAAATAATGGAAAAACTGTCATCTTCTGTAACCTGAAACACAGACAATGTACCTAAAGAACTTGTGAATCTGGCTGAAGAGATACCCAGGCAGAATGATGAATGTGTAAGTTGGCTCCTCTTAGCTGTTATGATAAAGTTAAAACAGGGATGAGGTAAATAAGGAAATGTTTAGCTTGTGAGCAACATTTAAAGAGAACATAGAGGACACAAGACCTGCTTGTGAAAGATTTCCAAAGTAAAATAAGGCCTGCAATCAAAGATTCAAGTGTGTGGTTAGAACAACTTTTGTGGAAAACTCTGATTTAAACTGGAGCCTAACAGACCATCTTGACTGGATAAAAAGAACTGGTTCTGTAGCACTCTTGATATTTCAGCCAATGTCTGGAGAAGGTCTGTTTTGAAAAGAATTATAAGTCCTTTATCTAATGAAGTAGACAATCTGATACACAAAAAGCCTTTAAAAATTTTGGGGGCATACTGTACTATTTGGACGATTTGGAACAGAGACACTTCAAAAAGAAAATACTTCTCTGGCCCCCCAACTTTCCACAGGCAGAAAGCAGACAGAGAAAGCTATTCAGCTGCAACATGGCCATTTCCTATGGAAAAGGAAGGATATCGCAAAGGACAGAGCCAAGAGCTCAGAGAGCAGATCCAAAGGCCTAAAAGAACAATGAACTACAGAACCACTCTTAGGAAATAGAACTAGACTCCCTTCAAAAAAATTCCCTACCCCCCAGGTAGGCAGCCGGGCAACATGTGCCCAGTAGCAATTCAATGATTTGATTCATATGATTCCTATTTCTCCCATTTTGAATGAAGTGTTGATTATCAAAGTGTTGTTCCTGCCTCACCACTGAATAGCTAAGAGCAGCCATACCAAGGAGTGAAACAAAAGAAGCTTCATTTGCATCTGGACCAGATTTAGATAACAGGGTCCTAAACCTTGAGCCTGCTGCTGCTGTGGGATGAAACTTCTGGGAATCTAGGATGGAGATGTGCATATTTTACATGTAGAATGTGAATAATGTGTGAAGGATGAGAATCTAGATGGAGAAAGGCTGTGCCAAGCATCCTGGCCTTCCCAGTCATCCCAGTGAATCATCAACATTAATAAAATAATAACTGTTTTAAGTCACTAAATTTGGATGTGGTTTATTATGGACAAATGATATGTTTTTGCAGGTGCTGTGATATTAAAAGGTTAACCATTTGAATCATCTGAGTTGGGGTTTGCTTAAAGCCAATAGAAATTATAGGCCAGTTCATACCTATTGTCCTAGTATAATTATTAACAGCATCCTCTTTCAGTGGGTTTGGCCAATAGATTATGTGGTCATCCTACTTATAATATACTGCACAACAATGAGTTAAGGCTTTCCAACTAGCTGGAAGTTAACATATTTAATCATATAAATGTATTTCAGATGAAATGTAAATTTAAAACAGTGCTATTGTAAAGCCCAGCTGTTTTGTGAGGCCTAAAATCTTTAAACAATCTACTGGCAGGCTTCTGAACAGCTGAGGTTGAAGTGCCAAGGAGCTACTAATGGCTGCCAAAATTAAAATATTCTCTCCATGTGTGGAATATATTTGGACTTCGAAAACATGAATTAGAAAAAGAACACAATTGAGAAAAGATGTTATATGTCCCCCCTTCTCTTTTCACTCATTCTTTCCCATACTAATAATTAAAGTACATATCATAATGAAGTCCAACTACAATGAAGGGTCAATTATAGAAAATTTATGAATAAGATAAAGCTTTTGAATTAAATCAGGAAGTTATAAAATTCTTCCAGTCATAATGTCCTTGTCAAAAGTTACTACTTTTAGAAAATTTCATGATAATTAAGGCTTGAATTAGGGCTTGAGTGCATTCTTGGAGATCTTTCTGACCAAAAAAATTAGTATCTACAAAAAAACAATCTAACAAGATTACCCAGTTTTGATAATGGCTTCTCCAAAGACCGACTAGTTTGCACACAAGTGGTATTAAGTAAAAACTTATTATGGCCATGAATAAACATTTAACAGATCTTTGTTGGAGAATAAATGAAAGACTTGATATCAAGCAAGCACTTATATAAGGTTAGACTTTCTTTAGCAAGAGATATCAATACCTGTGGTGTCACTAAAGACTTAGAAGCATGAAAGAAGGAAAAAGAGTAGGGGAAAAAAAACAGTGAAAGACCAAACATATAAAAATATAAGAGAATTCCAGAAAGGAGATAAGGAGGGAATATGTTGGTGAAGCTAATTACTCATTAGCAATATCTCAATTCTGGAAACTTGGAAATTATTATTTGAAGTATTCATTTATTTAATGCTAACAGAAATCATGATCAACTCTCACCTTGTTCTTGTCTCTCACATTCCTGCATTTCCAATATGGAATTGGAGAATTAAAAAACATTTTCTCAAGAATGAAAAAAATAATTTATTTTTTATTCCTACATAGACCTTAGAGTGTGTTTAGGGTTGACAGGCATCCTGTACATGTGGACATATCCCAAATTTAATGATTTTTATCCTGTGAACATCCTAAATACTCTGTATTCAGATTTTTTCAATAAATTACAAAAATCTGGTAGTCAGAAATAAAGCCCCTTAATAAAGGATTTTTTTTTATCATTACAAAGGTAAAGTTTACCCATCAGAAAATTTGAGAGCACTGAAAAGTAAAATTAACAACAAAGAACACCAATAATCTCTACCCACTGCTAGCATCTTGATGCATATTTTCTAGGTCCTTTTCTTTTTATGCATGTAGAATATTATCTCTCCAAATGCGTGGCAATATCATAGACTTGTTTTATAACCCCTTTTCACAGAGGAGTATATCATGAGATGTTTTCATGTCATTAGATGAACATTTTAAAAACTTGTGATCTGTATTGAAATTCTGGCCTCCTAGAGAGGATGAACAAATTAACATCTCCCTCCTCAATGACACATAAGTACAGATCTTTCTTGACTTATGACAGACTTACATCCCAATAAACCCATCATAAATTGAAAATATCTTGAAAATGCATTTAATACATCTAACCTATGAAAATCATAACTTAGTCTGGCCTCCCTTAAATGTTCTCAGAACACTTATATTAGCCTACACTTGGGCACAATCATCTACAAAATGCCTATTTTATAATAATGTGCAGGTTCTCTCATGTAATTTCTTGAATACTCTACTGAAGAACAGAATGGCTGTCTGGGTACAGAATGGCTATAAATGCATTGGCTGTTTCACCTCGTGATTGTGTGGCTCAGGGAACTGCAGATGGTTGCCTCTGCCCAGCATCACAAGGGAGAGGTCATACCACAGACCACTGGCCTGGGAAAAGATCAAAATTCACATTGTGAAGTATGGTTTCTGCTGAATGCATATAGCTTTGGCACCATTGTGAAATCCAAAAATCATAAGTCAAACTATTGTATGTCAGGACTGTCTGTTTATCTATTTTGTTGCAGCTACAGGTATTATCTTTCCATAACTCTGTATGTACATATATAAAAATATATAAATATATAATAAATATAATATACAACTATTAAATATATGAATATACATATATTTGTATATATAAAATGTTGTCAAGTAGCATTCATTTGTATTTTTCTTCTAACACTGCTAAACATTTTCTTAGAAGTTTATTGATCATTTTTATTTCATTTGCAAATTATCTATGCCCACATGTCCTTAGGCAATTTTTATATTTCACATTTGACTTTTTCTTATTGGCTTCAAAGTGTTCTCTGAATATTATGAATATTTAT